GGCTGCTCGCCACATCCGCAGCCCCCCAGGGGCTCAGCGGGAGAGTCAGCCCTGCCGAAACGCCATCTTTGTTCTGCCTCCAAGCCAAGCCCAACATCGAAGATTCCCACCCACTGAGATTTCAATCCAGGCCAGTGGAAACGTTCCTGAGGATCAAGTCAAGTTCTTCGGCTTTTTCCCACCTTTTCACAGCATTTTCTAACCGAAAACCCCTCAATAGTCCCCTCCCAGAGGGTCAAAGTGGAGAATTTTGGCCGTATCAAAGCACTTCTTTTCAGTGTTTTCCAACAAACGTCTATCGCAATTGACACGCTTAACGAAACAGCATCTTGTGATGGAAAAGTGTTCTGATAAAAAATATACTAATCAACCTTAGCCCTACCCGAGAGGCTGCCCAGCCTCCTTTGTGTTCCAGGCTCTGAGCTAGGTGCTTTCAGCCCATTTAGCTGCATGTTTTCAGATACGATTAAGGGAGTTAAACACCCAATTCAGCATGATTTGGGCCCTTAAATCCCTTTGGCTCCTTTGAAAATCCCAGCCTACATTTCAGCATGTTGACTTTCACTCTATATTTTGGCTTCTTTCTGTCACTGTGCACTGCAGAGTCCCAGACCACACATGGTCCTCCCTGGTAAACAAGAGAGACACAACTGCATCTCAAGCTGTGTAGAAGCCAGTCTGTTAGAGTCTATGATTAGGTCTGTTACTAAATGCCCCCTGTTTAAAGGACCGTGATTCTGTGTCTTGTGACAGTGGGAGGCCTTTTCCAACAAGACAGATGAATCCAGATTCTGATCTCACTGACACCAACATAAATCCCAAGTAACTCTGTTGATGGAGTCCTGATTTCACCTGCCCTACAATCCGTCCCTGTTGTCCTCTCCCAGCGCCTGGCAGTCAGAGAGTTAGGGGCGCCCAGAGCCTGGGGTCACCTCCCAGACCATCTTGGCTAATGGCCATCCTCCAAATGTCCATGCTGAGTGACCCCACTAAGACCGATTCTGAGCCCACGTCACCCTAAAATTGAAATCACACGTCACTCTGGATTGACACCTGTTTAACCGAGCTCGGACTCTTCTACCAGGGGTCTGGGTTCCTGTTCATGGATCTTCCCCCAACGCTCACGGGCGTCACTGGTTTTTCTTTTAGGGACAGAGCAAGGCATCCAGAGGCAGACCCGGCGATTTATTAGCCCAGTGGCTTGCAAGGCGGCCCTGAACATGCTGGAGAACCGGAGCTACTTAATCTGGGGCCTCAGCACCGACCTGTGGGACCTGAAGACCGAGTGAGTCTCCAGCAGGCCTCCAGAGAGCAGGGCAGGATGGGCGGGGTGGATCAGGCACTAGGCTGGGGCTCAGGAGAAGTGGGTTTAATTCCCAGCTCTGCCACTGACTACATGTGCCCTTGGGTGAGTCACTTCATCTCTGTGCTGTCGTTCCGGAGCTGTATGGGGTAGGGATGGTCTGTGCAGGGCCATGAGCGGGGTGCTCCCCTAATTACAATGGCAGCTGGTTCTCCTTAGTGCCCACGGGTCTCTGCTCCCTGAACACGGGCTCCCCACCACCCCCAGGGCTGCGGTAATGGTTCCTCCCACTCTGTTTCCCAGGATGGCTTACTTGCTCGGGAGCAGCACCTGGATTGAGCTGTGGCCCAGCAATGAGGAATGCCATGAGGAATCTTTCCGTGCCCTCTGCTCGGGCCTGGAGGCCTTTGCCCAGCACCTGGTGGCAACCGGCTGCCCTTCGTAGCCAAGGAGAAGAGGACACAGGAACATCACCGTCTCCCACGACCTATTTATAGTGTAACCTGGAACCCCGGCCGAACCTCTGTACATCCCACCACAGCAGGGGTAGGACTCACACCCTCCTGCATGCAGCCCCTACCTCTGGATCTGCAGGAGAATCTCCTTCAGCTGCTCATAGTATAGGGCCTATGACACACCACGGTGCAGTTCACATTCCATCCCGTAGAGGGCAGCGGTGGACACACGCCGCTCACAACGCAGTGCTTTCCATAGCCCTCCATTACCCTGGTCTGCGATTTTGAGAGACTGGGCCAGATTCGGTCTGTTTTCACATGGCCACACGCGACCGGCTAGGGATGACAACGTGACACGAGGCCGAGCTCGGAACGGAGCCGGACCTTGTGTGGGTCAGACCCACCTCTGAGACACCCCAGGGCTTGGTCATTTCCTTACACCAGGCCACTGATCTAATTCCTCAACTGTACACCTGTTGCAATCCCCCTGAATCCTTGATCCACGGGCTTTGTGCCTGCCGGGGGGCTCGCCAGAGGCATCTGCCTCCTTTGTACCTGAGTTACCCCATGAACGTGAATAAAGTTTTGCGGCAGCAGGGGAAGGGCTGTCAGCACCCAAGGGTGGAGACTTATTTCGTGGGCTGCCTCCGAGCCCTCAGTAACGCCAGGGAAACTTAACATCCCGGGGGGAGGCTCTGAAGCGTAAGCTCTTTGGGGCCTGGTTTTTCATTCTGTGGTTTGTACAGCGCCTAGCACGGTCAGGGCTGCCGGCAGAGTTGCTGGGCCCTGGGCGAGGGCTCCCGCCAGCACTTCAGCATTGCCTGGCCGGGGGGGCCCTTTTAAATCACTGGGGCAGCTGCCCCTTTTGCCCTCCCCTCCCATCAGTGGCCCTGAGCACAGCGGCAGTTATAGGTATTAAGACTAGCCTGGAACAAAGGCGACTTGACCCCAGAAGGACTCTGCTTGGGCAGGAGAATAAAGCGACTTCTGTTCTGTAATAGGGAACGTCAGAACGGCCAAGCTGGGTCAGGCCAAAGGTCCATCAGGCCCAGGATCCTGTCTCCCAACTGGCCTATGCCAGGTGCCCCAGAGGGAGCGAACAGAACAGGGAACCCTCACGTGATCCCTCCCCCGTCGTCCATTCCCAGCTTCTGACAAACAGAGGCCGGGGACACCCTCCCTGCCCAGCCTGGCTAACAGCCATTGAGGGACGTATCCTCTGTGAATGTGTCTAGTTCTTGTTTTTAACCCTGTTCAAGTCCTGGTCTCACAACATCCTCTGGCAAGGAGTTCCACTGGTTGACCGTGCTCTGCGTGAAGAAAAACTTTCGTTGGTTTGTTTTAAACCTGCGACCTGTTAATTTTATTTGGTGACCCCTAGTGTTATGGGAACAAATAAATAACTTTTCCTTATTCACTTTCTCCACACCAGTCATGACTGTATAGACCTTTATCTTGGCCACCTTTAGTCGTCTCTTTTCCAAACTGAAAAATCCCAGTCTTTTTAATCTCTCTTCGTGTGGTGCGCACACGCACACGCGCGCACACACACACACGGTTTTTACAGGACAGCAGAAATCACATGCAACATAGCAAGGGAAATAAAACCCCCTACAGTCCCCACTTTGTCACAGACGGCCCTTGTCAAAGGCTCTCTGGAAATCTAAGGAGACACTATCCCCAGGGTCCCCCTTGTCCACATGCTTGTTGAGCCCCTCAGATACTTCCAGTGGATCAATGCGGCTGGATTTCCCTTTGCAGAAGCCGGGTTGGCTCTTCCCCTGCAAATTGTGTTCATCCACGTGTCTGCTAATTCTGTTCTTTACTCCAGTTTCACCCACTTGGCTGGTACTGATTGGGGTTTACCAGCCTGTAATTGCCAGGATCTCTGGAGCCGTATTTAAATATGGGCGTCCCGTTTCCGGGGTAGCCTGCGTACCTCACTCCGTAGTGCTGCGGGTGACTTTTATTTGAAAGAATTTTTTACGGACCTTTTTTGGACTCTCCAAAGCCTTGCGCCAGCTGGTCCCAGCCAGGCCAGGGGTGGTGCGCAGGCGAATGCGGTGCAATTTCTGATGCATCAGCCCACAGCGGAGCAGCCGGTGGCACAGAACCGCACACGAAAACGGCCGCAACCTCAAAATAAAACCCCACCCACGACAAACACGGCAACGCTCGGGTACTGCAGAACAAAGTGCCAGTATGAAGAGAAATCTGGAGTGGCAGCAACTCTGCTATCACACGCCACCATACAATGCTCCAACCCTACCATAACAAGCAGGCCCCATGGGGGGGAGGGGCAACTGGGGCCCCTTTGAACTGCCACAGGAGCCCCGGCTTTGAGGGCTGGGGGGGCCCAGCACCACGGTCCAGGCAGCGCGAAGCCACTTCCTTTGAGCCTGGGCTGCGGTGGCTATTGGCCCTGCTGCTAACAAAGTATTGTACAAGTCACCCTACAATAACAAAGCCCCCACTGCACCCCAGCCCTACCATAACAAGCTACTGGATAGGCGACCCTACCATAACAAAGCCCCACGTGCAGACTCCAGCCCTACCATGGGAAGCTACAGTGCCCACAACCCTATAATAACAAGCTACTGTACAGGCGACCCTACCATAACAAAGCCCCACGTGCAGGCTCCAGCCCTACCATGCCAAGCTACAGTGCCCGTGACCCTACAATAACAAGCTACCGCACAGGCGACCCTACCATAATGAAGCCCCTCCCCCCGTGGACGCTCCAGCCCTATCATAAAAAGCTACTGTACAGGCGACCCTACCATAACAAAGCCCCACGTGCAGGCTTCCAACCCTACCATGCCAAGCTACAGTGCCCTCGACCCTACAATAACAAGCTACCGCACAGGCGACCCTACCATAACGAAGCCCCGCCCCCCGTGGACGCTCCAGTCCTATCATGACAAACTACTGAACAAGCGACCCTACCATAACAAAGCCTCACGTGCAGACTCTAGCCCTACCATGCGAAGCTACAGCACCCGCGACCCTACAATAACAAGCTACCGCACAGGCGACCCTACCATAATGAAGCCCCTCCCCCCGTGGACGCTCCAGCCCTATCATAAAAAGCTACTGTACAGGCGACCCTACCATAACAAAGCCCCACGTGCAGGCTTCCAACCCTACCATGCCAAGCTACAGTGCCCTCGACCCTACAATAACAAGCTACCGCACAGGCGACCCTACCATAACGAAGCCCCGCCCCCCGTGGACGCTCCAGTCCTATCATGACAAACTACTGAACAAGCGACCCTACCATAACAAAGCCTCACGTGCAGACTCTAGCCCTACCATGCGAAGCTACAGCACCCGCGACCCTACAATAACAAGCTACCGCACAGGCGACCCTACCATAATGAAGCCCCTCCCCCCGTGGACGCTCCAGCCCTATCATAAAAAGCTACTGTACAGGCGACCCTACCATAACAAAGCCCCACGTGCAGGCTTCCAACCCTACCATGCCAAGCTACAGTGCCCTCGACCCTACAATAACAAGCTACCGCACAGGCGACCCTACCATAACGAAGCCCCGCCCCCCGTGGACGCTCCAGTCCTATCATGACAAACTACTGAACAAGCGACCCTACCATAACAAAGCCTCACGTGCAGACTCTAGCCCTACCATGCGAAGCTACAGCACCCGCGACCCTACAATAACAAGCTACCGCACAGGCGACCCTACCATAATGAAGCCCCTCCCCCCGTGGACGCTCCAGCCCTATCATAAAAAGCTACTGTACAGGCGACCCTACCATAACAAAGCCCCACGTGCAGGCTTCCAACCCTACCATGCCAAGCTACAGTGCCCTCGACCCTACAATAACAAGCTACCGCACAGGCGACCCTACCATAACGAAGCGTATGGCCCAGACCTGCCCCCTCTCACCCTGCCCAGATCAGACTCCCACATGCCGCTGCTCCCGGCCTGGCTTTTGCCCTGGGCCCGGATGAGCCAGCTCCTGTAGGATACAGTGAGAGCCAGAGCCAGCCCTCAGAAGGCCCAGAGAAAGGGATTGTTATTAGCCCTGTTTTGCAGGTGGGGAAACTGAGGCACAGGTCGGCCATAACAGACCTGCCCCCTCTCACCCTGCCCAGATCAGACTCCCACATGCCGCTGCTCCCGGCCTGGCTTTTGCCCTGGGCCCGGATGAGCCAGCTCCTGTAGGATACAGTGAGAGCCAGAGCCAGCCCTCAGAAGGCCCAGAGAAAGGGATTGTTATTAGCCCTGTTTTGCAGGTGGGGAAACTGAGGCACAGGTCGGCCATAACTTGCCACCACTCACACACGGAGGCTGCGTCCGAGCTGGAAAGCTTCCTCCGCCGGTTGCTTTCGATTGTGAGTTCTTCGGGGCCAGGGCCTGTCCCTTAACTCTCTGCGGCACAACGGGGGACCCGGATCTCCGCTCTGGATTCTAGGGGCGC